AGACCATGATCCACAGTAGCAATAAGATAGCTTAACTTATCAATAATACTTTGCTGCCTGATTCATTATATGAGCCCCAAGCTATTATTAAAGAAATCCAGCACAAAAATGATCCTAAGATTTTGTTATCTTTGTCAAAATTTTTGTATTTTGTTAACCTGCTTCGATAAAATCAGTTATTCTGTATGATTAGAACCTTAAGCTTTTATCGTTTAAATTTATTCTATATCCATATTTTTGCTGCAATACCCTTAGCTTATATTCAGTCTTTGTTTAGCTTGTCTATTATTTTATACTAGAATCTTAACTCGAGAGTCCTATGCTTGATAAGCTTCTTTTTCTGGGTTGCATATAATGAAAGATTGAATTGAATATTCATTGCCACTTTGCCACTTGATCATCAAATGAAAAGGGGGAGCACAAGGCTCTTATCTGTGACTGTTTATGTTCAGGTAGCAGCAGAATGGTTTCCCAGATAGCAAAATCCAGAGAAAGGAGGTTTTGAACAAGTTGAGCAAAACTGTTTTTAAGGGTGAACTGAGTAAAATGAATAGAATTGGGGTAAAAAAATATAAGGTTTTTTAAAAAGATCTTAAAAACGTCTTGAGTAAAACATACTTGAGTAAATCACAAGCTTTTATTTTATGCTCTTATGACATTTTAGCAAACCTTTTACTAGTTTTGTAAATCGTTGTTAACGGTCTTATAGCAAATTCATATATTTAGCTTTTCAGGTATATGATTTTCAAGCAACAGCTTGCTATTTATTATTACTCCAACGTCTTTTTCCGTAGCAGGCAATCTTTCCTTAGTATGTCATCAAAACAAACATACCTCGCTTCTTTTTCTGACTGTCGTATTCCGATATTTTTCAAGATCAAACTTTGAAACCTTTTTGTCAGACAATTTAGTCATGCAGTTTATTTCCTTTTATAGCGTTGCTCAGTTTTTAAGCTCATAATTACCTCAAAATAACTTTGCATCATCCGCATATATATAAATTTCGCTGCTTGTTACTTCAATAGTCCTCTAAATCATTGATGAAATGTGCAATCAACAATGGAACGATTGCAAAGTTTATGCAAAAAACTTTATTTAATCGACAAAATCTAGTACGTTTAAACTCCATAGAACCCAAATTCAGTTTTCTTTGTCTCTCATTCTTAATTTTTTGAACATATTTTAGGTCTTTAGTTTTATAGCCTTGCTTTTTGTTGCAAAGTTCACTCAGTAACCAATAATAAAGATTATCACAATATACGAATCCCTTAAAAAATCGCTCAGAATATAGAAGGTGCGTTGACTTGTTTCTTGTAATTCTCATTTCCTTCTTAATTTTTTCTCTCTAAAATGTTTTGAAATCAACTGGAAAACTTTTCAAAACCTTGATTTTCCTTTGATGCACTTATTTGACGAATTCGTATGAATCCAAAACAAACATATTGGCTTTAAAATACATTGCATTTCTATAATACCTAAAATCTATTAGCGTAGCGTTCAGTTTTTAAATTTTTTTCTTACTTAAGTACGTTCTCAAAGATTGAGCTGATGCCAAAATGCTGAAGGTTAAATGAGAAAACAGATACCTCATAATTTTCAACAAGTCCTTCTTTTTATTATCGATTTAAATTGAACAATAAGTCGGTACGTTTCTACTTAAAAGAATCATTTCTATCCTATCTTTGAAATAATTTTTTTAAAACAGTCTGTTTAATTGCAGTAGGAATGTCGTTTATTATCATACGTAATTATTATGCTAACCTCGCTTTCGTTTGTATATAACACTTAGTCTTTTGTTTAGTAATTCAGTCAGTGATTAACCTCAACACGAGTCGCTCGCTTTTTGTCTTCACTCTCAATTCGTTGACTACTCGAAGTGACAAGGGTTTTAGAGAAAGTTTAACCCCTGTTACAAAATTGGGGAGGGGGGGGGGGGGCGTTGATCAGTACAATTGTTTCTTAATGTTTTGGTCATCTTAGAGGTTGATTTTTATAAAGCGGCTTAGCAGTGGATTATTAGTATCAAAATCTTATCGAGCACTTGTAGCGAGCAGAAAATAAAAACGTTTTTAGGCAAATGACGATGTGTCATGATAGATTTTTAGTTAGGTAATTTATTTAGGCAGTTTTTACATGAAAATAGAATACAGACTGCAAAAGACCAAGTGACTTTTAGTAGAAGATTTTGCATCTGAAAAAAGAATAGTTTAAAATGAGTTTAGAACCAGGAATACTTTTCTAATCAGGTTCTGAATGGGGTTACAATTTTTCAGAAATTTGTTGTAGCATACAAATGTAACAACAATATATCAGATATATTGTTGTTCCCCTTTTTTAGCCCTTGATTTCTTAATTTCTTAGCCCAAACATTATCCTGTTCCAACATTCCAACATGTCAAGTTTTGTTTGAATCAAAAGTTTAAAAATTCTCTCCTCACTTCTTTTTTCCTAATAAAAGTTTCACAAAAAGTCGTTTCTCTGAAAATACGAACCTTTAAAATCGTAAGCATTTGATCATGATCGTGAAAGTTCTCCATGTGATAACCCCGAGCTAGCCTCTCCATTATTGTTTGCTCCTTTGGGTGTCGTCCTTGGAGTGCGGTAAAGTAATTTATAAACAATGTTTGAGGTATGGCACAAGCATAGCATTATCTGAAAAGAAAATTTCTAATAAATGAAAAACAGGTGACTCAAGTGATATTCCAAGTTCTAAAACCGACGAACAGGCGATTTTGATATTTTGAGACAAATCAGCGCATCAAAGAATAGTTTTTACATAAGAACAAATGTTCCGCGCACAGTTGTTCACATGTGAATTTCACGAGATTATATCAAATCTACCAGTTTCACGCAATCTCTCAAATTTCTGATTTTGAACAAAGTCTGGTGACATATTGAGCCATGAAATATACATATTACATATTTGAGATACTTCGAAGGATTTTCGAAAAATCCCCAACTTTGTTGAAAGATTGCTTTGAAATTGGTCAGCTTTAAGTGTTGAAGTATTGTAATTGGTCAGCTTTAAGCCCTGGCAAAACGACTAAACATTTCATTCATTTTTTGTTTAGTGATATTGAGCGAAGCTTAGCGAGGTTGGTAAAACGTGACTAAACTTTTCACTAAACTTCACTCAACTTTTCTAACTGCGAGTTGTCTATGACGCTGTTGGGTGGTAGGGGATCTTGCATAGGAATTTGCTTTCGGTTCATTTTGTTGCATGCACAAGCAATGGATAAAAATAAGAACTGCAGATGTCTCATAGAGGCTTTTAGGGTCACGTAGAGACAGGAAAACCGACGAAAACCGACGAAAACCGACGAAAACCGACGAAAACCGACGAAAACCGACGAAAACCGACGAAAACCTATGCATTTCCACAGCTAGAGCGCCTGCGCGATCACAGCAAATATTTAATTGGTGGCAAAACGACTAAACATTTGCTAAACAACATTAAACAACGCCAAACACTTTTGACCAGGATCAAACTTTGCTTAACAACACTCAACACGACTAAACAACACTAAACAGGGTGGCAAAACGACTAAACTTTTCACTAAACCTCTGGCTAAACAAAAGTTGAGTGAAATGCTTAATGAAATGTTTAGTCGTTTTGCCAGGGCTTTATGAAACAAAATCTGAAGTCTCAGGTATATATCAATCTCATTGCATTGCATTACAGATTTCAATCTTATTTATGTTTGGATGCCATACAACGTTTGGATGAGTAACAAAAGAGCTGGTATAAAGTTTTGTAGTAGAAGATCTTTGAAAAAGATGTAAGGTTTATTTGAAGTTTTGATACTCCACGAAACCATGACTTAACGCAGAACATCATTATTCACTACCTAAGAGGTCTTCGTAGCATATCTCCGATGAAGGAAGTGCCAAGTCTTGAAGAATTTGTACTCGGGGATCTATTTCAAATATTATTACGCTGCCTCACTATCCCAATCACAAAGTGAGTTCAGAGGGTGAATCTCTTGAATACTGCCCGTTAATTGAATGAATTTCCAAATTGTCTATTGATTGCTTGAAGCATTAGTTTGGTATTAGATGAGCCGACAGATATTTAAAACCCAATTTTGTTTGTTTGTGTTGGATCATAGCTATTTGATTACATCATTCGTCAGTTTCTCTCAGCTAGAAGTCTAAAAATATCCAGTAGATCTTATCTTGATACTTATTTTCACGAAGGCTAACTTAAACCTTAGATCCACACGAAAGCATAATTACCTGCACACTAGTATTGTAGTGCACCAGCATTTCTGAGCCTCTGCGTGTTGGAGTAATTAGTTAGGGGGGGTTGCACTTACGGCAGCTGAAAGGTCTGACATGATTTAATTTTTCGTGACAAGAGCTTGGACCTAATCGCCTGACATTATATTTCTGCGCAAGCATTAATGTTATTTTGATGCCATGGCGTCGAGCCACCCCATAGGACTTGGAAAGCCCTGTTCTGCACACTGTGAATACTGTATCGAAAAGGTTTTTTGAACGTTTTTTGGAAAACAATGTCTTTGGAATTATATTATGTTTTATCGTGTCAATGGTCTTCCCATTAATAAATGATGAATAATGCAGGTGATAGCATCGAATATGATGTAAGTGAAGATTGGAGTTTTAGATGGAAAGGTTTTTTTAGTACACATCGCAATTAAAAACAATTTTCGTGGCATTTTGTGATTTCATTTGATTTCCCTTATTGAATATAACAATAAATTAAATATAAGTTGCAATTTTTAAAGAATTGTTTTGAACAACAGAAGATGACAAATTTGTTAAAGTAAAAACAATAAAAAATGAACAGAGAAAAGTAATGTATTATTAATATGACACAGTGTTTGTAAGTTTAACCTTTGGAGAAATGAAAATATTGAAAAACTACATTGAAAAATTTACTGCTACCATGGTAGAAATAGTTAGCTTAAATAAGACTTAAATTGCCTTAATTCTGGAAAATATGTTTTTTTGTAGGCCTAAGTTTTTAGATAGCCACTTTTTAGGGTTCATCTGCGAGAAGCATAAACTTAATTTTCAAGTAAGGATAACCTATTGCTACTTTAAAAAGAAAGGGCCGATCAGCTACTGATAAGTAGCTGAAGGGTTTACGCAATTGAAAGTGTGTGGGTGTGATTACTGCAAGAAAAAATTGAATCCCGTTATCACAAATTCAATCAAGTATAGACAATCAGGATTTGAAATTGCAGCGTGATCACTTCCAAACACTGCATAATGAGCATGCTTTAAAGGTTTATTTTCTGGATTGCGTATCTAGCCTTTGCTAAGAAATCTAGCTTCTATAAAATATTTCAACTTAGAATTTTCAGAGAGACTTTGCAATAACTGCTGGGAGTAGTATTCATACGGAACAGTCTTTCTAAGGTGATGAAGCATAGATCGAAAGCCATAGCCAACGAAGGCTGAGCAGAATTGCAAAAAAATTAACAAAGAAAATTCGATTGTGCCTATAATCAGTAGATTTACGATGACTTACGCCTTGAATTGAAATAGGGAAGATTACAACCTTAAAAATCAAGATATTTAAAACAAAGAAATATTAAAGATGAAGATATTTGTTTAAACTTCAGCTTCATCCATGAGTTTAGTTGCAACATCAGGCACTTCAACCTCGATTTCAGAAGATCCCCTTTTTCTAACATTGTTTGAGAAGAACAAGCCAAGTGAGACACATGCACTGACAAAAACAAAAAAGCCATTGACGAAGAAGACAGCACCTGGATGGATCGAGACCACTGCATAGTACACCAACGGGCTTATCATTGAGCCAATCAGAATAGCAAATGTTTCGAGAATAAGCAAGGCTGCAAAGAGAATGCCAACTGTCGAAGGGGGAGTTATTTTTGAAATCATAGCTCTTATGGTCGGTGTATCAAGTGATCCTAAAGCGAGCGCTAGTTGGGAAAGGTAGAGCATCAAGGGCGAGTTTGCAAACCCAATCAAAACACAGTATACAGCTGAGATTGATGTGGTCATGAACAAGATGGTGAAATCGTTCAGTTTAAGGAGGCGTGTGAAAAGAAAGTTAAAACAGACCATACCAAGAAAGGAAATAAGTGCACTTTGAAATGACAGAAAGTAGCCTATTTTTTTAGGACTGAAATAATAAGGATGATTTTTCAAGTAAAGAACAATCACAGACCACTCTCCTGAGATTGTAATTGTTGTGAATGTTATAAGAAAGAACAATATAAGGCCATAATTCCGCTTGTCACTGGCTTTTAATATACTGTAGACTCTCTTGGCAGTTGTAATAGGATTTGATCTTTGTGCTACTGACAAAAGCCTTTTTAGTAAACTTGGCTTAGGTTCACTAGAGGTAATAACATGATTGCAAGATGAACCCTCTTGCACAAGATCCCTCTTCATGTCGTCCTTTTTGAGCTGTTCTTCCTTGCTTTTCTTTCTTTTTTCATCTTTAACATCGGCTCTGATACCGTCAGCAATGGTGATTCTCTCTTCTTCACTATCACGTGTATCACTAATTTCCTCATTTCTAGCCTCCATCTGATCGTTAGAAGTTCTAGCCTCTCTGCTTTCCTTCCTAGTCTCGTTTACAACTGAATTCGGCCCTTCACATGTTTCTGTAGGCGGTGCTATTGGTTTTACGAACAGAGCAAGGTGCAAAATGGCCAAAATACCTAGCCCTATATTCAAGATAAAAACTCCAAGGTATCCAATCCTTTCTATGATGAATCCACTTGAGAGATTCGCTGTGAATCCAGATAAATTGGTGGCGGCTTCTAAAAAGTTCATTCGTAGTGTTCTTGTTTCTTCTGTTGTTATATCTGATATATAGGAGCATGCAAATACGTACAAGGCACTTACATCACCAAAAAAACATGAAAATACACTAACCACCATCAGGAGCCATGTGGGGAAACGAAGGCCACTTTGTAGAATAACAACAATCAAGATATTTTCAATAATTTGACTCACTGGGGTAAAAAACATGAGTTTCTTTCGTCCAAACTCCTCTGATAGTGTTGTAACGAATGGCAAAGTCAATACAGTTATAAATGTAGCGAGAACCAAAAATCCACCAAACCACAGGCTCGATTCTTCTTGCAGGATGTCATAATCTTCCTTGAACGACCCCGTGAACATTGCTGCACATTTCGTTTCGTTGTGTTTTTTTAAGCACAAGTGTTCCAATAAAATCTGCGGGAAGGCAACTAAATTGAGCGAAAGTGCCTGCATGCATAAGAATACCAAAGGCTCCACAGTAATTGGCATACGCTTGAACGGCATTATAGCTGATTTTGGTGCTTGTTCTCACTCGACCCTCGGTCGTGTGGCGCAGCTAAATGACTCCGGAATATTGAGACTCACTCACAACCGAATATCATATTTCAATGTTCTGGTTTTATTCAATTGTTTTCAATAGAGCGAATTTCTGAAATGTATCAAAATCAATCTCAGTTGAAAACTTCAATCGGGAAATTGGCACACGTCAAAGACTCCATCACTGCAAGCCGCATCTCATTACTTTGTTCAGTAAAAAAAAATGTTCAGCGAGATACAAGGGGTGCCGTCCTTGAAAGTTAGGAAGGGAGGCTGTACTGTAGGCAAATTCCATAGAGATAGGATAATAATAGAAGCGCCGAAGCGCTAGATGTCTAACTGGGTATAATTGCCCATTGAGCTGGTGGGGCAAAACCACCCAAGCAGTGAAAGGGCAAAAAGGTGATTCCGCATAAGGGCTCAGTACGGGAAGTTGCAAGTTAGACGAAGACAAACCAAGATTATCGAAAGTTAGCATAGTCTTGAAAGGTAAGAAATATTTTGCTAGCTTGCCGTATTAATTTCAAATTTCTAGGCCATAAATTGTGTTGGTAAATACGGTTTCAAGATTTTTAAAATATTTTTTTGCTAAAATATTTTCGAAACGAAAGATAGAAAGCAAGTGGTCCGATGAAAATGTTTGAGACGATGGTCAATGATCAATGACCAATGGCCCCACCCTTACGATGACACAAACAGACTGATAAGAAATTGCTCGTTCATGAGAAATCTATAGTGAAATAAAATGTTGCCAACACATAATTCGTCCAACTAAATGTGGATTCACTTGCTAAGGTGAGCTGAGCCGCCTTAAATCTCTCTGAATTTAACAAGAGGGCTTAGAAAGTGAATCTCATTTGATCATGAGAGTCCATCAGGGACGTAAATTGGCAGATATTGGGCGGGGGGGGTGAGGGGGTGAAGGGCTCAAACTTTCCGACTGACAAAGTTCAATTCTATTTTTTATGAGGGCCTAAACTTTAATAGTTTTTTACCAACGAAACCTTATAAATTGTCTCTTAAATAATTATTCCGCTGTATGATAAAGTTTCTAGATTTCGTAAATTTGGAAAATCGAGCATAAAGACTGTTAGTTTAATTAGTGCATCAAAGCATACGTGGTCCATTGTTAAGGTGTTAATTTTTCTTCTTCTACGACTTGACAATTGCTCCACTATCTTATCTAAATTTACGTTGTCCAAAATGTCTTT